GGTTTGATTCAAGATTATCTGAGCCTTAAGTTTGCTCATATCAGCCACTTGGATAATATCTAATTCATCCAGTTCATAAGAATTAAATGAGATAATTTATGTTAAGTGCTCATTTAGTAGTTTTAATTACTGATAGCATTGCTATACAGATCAGTAAAGCCATTTAAACTTTAATCTTTTAGAAAATTTGCTCAATACTGGGAATAGCAGTCCATTTCCCCATCACTCCCAGGTCTATATCTGTGCACATATTATAGGATATTAATATATTTTTGGAACCACCACCTTGCCTCTCCCTCAAAAGGAGGAAATTGGTTGCTAACTGTCTTAACAGTTTATGAGAATATCTGTCACATGCTGTTTCCTAAGATACTGAGGCTTTCCTATGGTGCTACACTGTAGTAAAACCAGCTTTTTATACTCAGGTTTCTCTACACTTACAAAGTTCTGTACGGCTGTAATTAGAATCTTAGTTGGGGCGCCTGGGTGGCGCAGTCGGTTAAGCGTCCGACTTCAGCCAGGTCACGATCTTGCGGTCCGTGAGTTCGAGCGCCGCGTCAGGCTCTGGGCTGATGGCTCAGAGCCTGGAGCCTGTTTCTGATTCTGTGTCTCCCTCTCTCTCTGCCCCTCCCCCGTTCATGCTCTGTCTCTCTCTGTCCCAAAAATAAATAAAACGTTGAAAAAAAAAATTAAAAAAAGAATCTTAGATACAAAATGCATGTGACTTCTTAAAATGTCTCAGACTTTTGATTCATTAGTTAAGTGGTCTGAGCACAAAAGTGATTTGGAGTGGAGGATGGGGAACAATATTTAAGCCTCTATTGTCTCCATAAACAAATTCTGTCAGTGCTTAGTGTTTCATTGATGCCTACCAGTGTTACTTTGTAACTTTAAATGGGGCAGCAGGATTAACATTTCTGTTTAGTTTTCCTTACAAAATTTCTTTTTTTTTTAAGTCTATCATTTTTGAGAGGGAGAGAGGGAAGGTGACCAGACAGAGAGAGAATCCCAAGCAGGCTCTGCATGGTCAGTGTGGAGGCTGCGAGAGAGAGAGAGAGACAGAGACAGAGAGAGAGAGAGAATCCTAGCAGGTTCTGCATGGTCAGTGTGGAGCCTCACCTGGGGCTCGAACTCATGAACTGTGAGACCACAAACTGAGCTGAAATCAGGAGTCAGATGTTTAACTGACTCAGCCATCTAGGCGCCCCCTGCCCCTTATAAAACTGCTTATTCACTTTAGTCTGTGAAATATTCTTTTATAGTTTTATAAATAATATTTATTGCCATATATGTGGTAAGAATTGCTTCTAGTCTTCATTGAATGTATACAGTTCTTATAAGAAGCCATGCAGTTTATTTAAAAATAACTTAAGATGATGTATTATGCCTAAGGAAATGCAGAAGACCAGAAATTTGAGGGAACAGTCTGTGAGAATGCTGAAGATGATAATAAAAATAATAATGAAACTTGTAATATCCTCCCTGAGTATGTACTGTGTGCTATACTCTTAGCTAAGTTCCTCCCGTATCTTTTGTCAGTTAATCTCTAATTATAGTCTTGTGGAGAATGGGTGCTCTTGTTATCTTCACTTTGTGGATAAAGAAATTAAAACATGCAGATTACATAGAGAGTTTGATCAATGGAATAGAATTGAGATTCTAGAAGTAAATCCATACACCTGTCATCAGTTGATTTTCTTTTTTCTTTTTTTTTTTGAAAAACAACAAAACAAACAAAACTTAGGTTTT